GTGGTCTTCGCTGAAGTTAGCTTGGGTTTCAGCAGTGCACCGCACCCTTGGCCTCTGAACCTATTCCCCAGCCGGAGGGCAGTACCAGTAAACACACACAGGGAGGGAGATATAAAGGAGAAAGCAGGAATTTTATCAGTCAGCCACTCCCAGCAGCTATCTGAGCCCCTGTGGCTCTCACTGGTCAGGGAATATCTGAATATCTTACAACTTAAAGGAGTGTATTCAAACCAGCACAGTCCTCAGTCAGTCCTCCTGGAAACTCAGGCACCATTTAGGTAACAAACTGGGAACCTTGGGACTATAACTGTGTTGGTCTAACAGGGTTAGACTCAGCCTCCTGCTTCCACATGAAGTCACAGTTATAGACAGAAAAACACAGACACCTGGCTAAATGTACAACACTAGGTTACTTAACAAAACTGAACATGATGACAGAATGTATACAGAACCACACAGGAGACAGACCTGAGTCCCAAAATCACTGACCTCCACCAACTTCCAGGAAACAGCAGGTCCTTCATGATTTCACATTAAACATGAGGATCATTGGTGACGTACAGTGTGGGGAAGAAGAGCATTACATGAAAACTGACCCAGTCCACACAACGACCTACAAGGATGGTACAGATGACATCAGAATGCAAACAATCACAGCATTCATGTTCTAACCTGAGATGTCTGAGATGTTTTCAGTGTCGAATCCAGTTTCATAACAGCAGGAATACAGAGAAAGAATGAACTGTGGAAGTGACCCATCATAACCTCAGCTACTGTCTCAATGCTACTGGACACACGTTGTTTTCCGGTTAAAATCAACAGCTCAAAGTGCAACCACTCTATTGAAACTTAGGGCCTTTATATTTCATATTATTTCAATATTCGAGTACTCTCATTACCTTATGAATGAGTACTCGATTACTCGCACATTATATATTTTTACCGTGAAAAAGAAAATACGGGAGGTCCAAGTCCGACTGGAAACACAAGCGGAACAAATGTTAAGCTTGCAAGTTTAACGTCACATATCTTGAGCCGCAAGTTATTGTCATCTTTTTTTATCAAAGTATTTCCAGAAATCACTTTTCCTGGTCACGGCTGCCATGGTGCATGTGATGCCAACTGAGTTGAACTATTGTAGCCAAGAATAACACGTGCGCAAGTAGAGAAACAGGTCAGGTCAAGAAATAAGAATCTACAAGGGCACATCTACCATCAGTTCAGGTTAACTGTTTAAACACAATAAACCCACAGTGTGAAGCTGCTGGAGCAGAAGAAGACATTAGACACAGGAATGCTTCTATGCTAATCTCATCTTCATCAGGATCTTCACCTGCACTGCTCTGACACCACCGTGCTGAATCAGCTGTTCCACAGACACACAGGTAGCACACCGTCTTTATCACCAGGTGAATTCACAGTCAGCTCCTCCATCCACACCTGATTGTAAATTTACCACCATTTACTTAACTTTGGTTTATTCACCTGCTGCATATTTTCCCTTTCAAACTTAGTCAGCAGTTCATTCACTGTAACATCACTGTATGTGTAGTTAGTGCTTGTGTTGTTGTTGAGTCAGTCTTTATCAGTATTGTGTAAATGTTTTTAAGTATTAGGTCATTGCCTTTGTTTTCTGTAACTTACTTTATGTATCTGATTCATGTTGCCCGTTAAGTTTATTCTTTCATCAAGTTCATTTGTGTGTTATAAACATTTTAATAGTTTTATTGTGCTGACTCTGAAATTATATCTTTTGTCAAGTCATTAAAGTGGTTCCTTATGATAATTCAGATTAACGCCATATTTCCCCAAACTGAGCTAAATTTCAATGAACAACATAATAGAAACACCTGTCAACATTACTCAGCTTTCCAAGCCTATCATTTCACTTTTTTATCCAAACTCAACATAAAGTTGAATCAACACTTTGCTGCGATTTTTACAGTTAGGTAAGCAGAGCCGGATAGGCTAGCTCCAGAGACGTAACCTGCTGCTGCCACAGGCATCAGATCCGTCATGGGACAGAACACTGTTCTGAAAGGACAGATATCACTTCTGTGCCGTTCTAACTGATTGAGCTTTAACTGGTCAGACACTGCTGGTCCTGACATGAAACGTAACATTATAACCCTCATGCAGGACTTGTATTAAACTGCATGTATTAGTTTTAGCCAGTTGTTCCTAATAATCTGACAGCTGAGTGTGGTGCATCAGTGTGTGTCTGTGCCAGGCGTTTAGATTTGACATGTTCCAGTGTGTGAGAGCTCTGTTCACTGTCAGCAGCTGTGTTACTTTGAATAGGTCACTCAGGCTCTCTGCTACTGTCAGAGGACAGAATGGAGCCGATGAACAGACCCCACTGAATCATGGGAGAATTGATACTTCAGAACCACTGATCTTTGAGAGAGTGATGATGACGATGATCCAGTGAAGAGTATGTGATGATACACTCTCTGTTAGAAGGGAGAAGACTCAGCTGTCACTGATTTCATGTTCCATTATACATGAAGGTGTTAGATTCAGTATGAATGAACAATGTGCACTGACTACATCAGACATGGCTCAGGAAAATAGACTCACAACAAGTGCTGTGGGTTCAGTGTGCACCACTGTTGACTGTCTGTTGATCTACATGAGAAGAACTCACTCACCGTTCACTTAGTTCCTCTATCTACTCAGATCAGCAGAGAAAACACTGACAACAGACTGAAATCACAAGTGGTTTTTCACTTACACAGTAACCGACTGACCATTAAACTGCTTTCACCTTTGCACTCTTTCACTGACACCTAAACTGTTGTCCACTCTAACACTTCATCTGAGATTTCTGATTCTGTGAGTGTTTAAATACAACTGACACTTTAAAGATCACACACTTCAACAACCTCCAGAGCTCACGCTGTATTTAATAAACATCTTCAGCTCTTACACAACTCCTGGCTTCTTCAAGGCTTCCAGTCCTTTACTCTGTGGCTGGACCGGCCACGGGCCAATGCTACCTCCACAAATCTCCATGAGTGAGTGAGTGAGTGAGTGAGTGAGTGAGTGACTGACTGACCGACTGACTGACTGACTGACTGACTGACTGACTGACACCAACGTCTTCAAAATGTTTTGGTGTGAACAGTTTCTCTGACATCATCAGGGGGTGTTTCAGAGATCCACAACAGTTTTCATCTACTGTATGTTCCTCAGATAGGTACCAGGGCCGTGGTCGGACCAAAAAGAAATCCTGCCCTGGACTAATGTGCTGGTACCAGGGTCACAAATCACACCCTGCACACACAGATACACAGTCCTGCCATACACTAGGTTTATACCCGGTGTTGTTGAGTGAGTGTTGTTCTGCTCTCAGCGATTACACATCAGCTGGCACTCATCAAACTCTTTCAGTATAGACCCTTGTACCACCTCCCTGCTTTATCTGTGATTCTCATACAACAGAGGATTAGCTTTAGAAAACATTTTGACCTTTGAGTTACTGTGTTTACTGCAGTTTTCATTTTGTCCTTTTTGATGTTTCAACAGTCTAAGAAGAAATGAAGAAGACTTACAGTTGACACAAGCTTTATCTATGTATTCACAATGAAAACCAGCCTCAATACAAGACAGAGCGATAGACTGCTGTGGGATGAATATGTCTGAAAACAAAGATTTGAAAGTTTGAAATCTAATAAAAAAGATTTTGTAAGATTTAATCTACAGTTTGGAGGCTTGTGTGTGTATGTTTCATTAGGCTGAAAACAATTTTCAAATGTCTGCAAACCTTATTCTATATTTGAGTTTTCCTTCTTCACAGCTGCAGCACTCTATCAACAGTTTCACATGTCACCGTTCTCCTGCTGTCTTAGTTTGGTGTCCAGGTTTGTAAATGATCATATGACTTGAGTTTGGAAGGGCCGAACCTTTATTTTGAAACTTTTGTGGATGTACAGTTGCACTTGTATTGCAGACTGTTCTTTTCAGAGCTGAGCTCAGAGCAAACAATTGGTTAAGAGCCAGAATCACAGCTTTTTTTTTTCGGACCGTATGTTTTTGAGTTTCAGACCAGAGAGAACACGTGACTCACGACTGTGTGGGCAGATCTGAGAACTCTGAGCGACCAGACTGCAAAACAAAACATGATACTGATCCCATAGCCTACCAAGACTAAAGGAGGCTCTTCTACCTGTCACCGGTTCATTAGTGTGATCACAGAGACCACACACACACACACATACACACTCACGCACGCACACACACAGCCCCCAGGATTTCCCATTGAGGATGACCATTATTCGGAAAAGATCTGAAAAAAATAATCTCTCTCCTTTTGGGCAGAACCATCCAGACACACACACACACACACACAGCCAATTTTGACAAACCACCAGAGTTCTTATTGCCCTCTGTGGTCACAGCAACACAACTAAAGTTATGTTCTTATAAAATATGTAATGGTTGTTTCATTTAATCTAATTCTGCTTCAAACAGAGAATCTTACTCCGTGTTCAAACACAGCTCTGTACTGAACAGAGCAACAATTAGGCTGAACAGGCTCTCTCTCTCTCTCTCTCTCTCTCTCTCTCTCTCTCTCTCTCTCTCTCTCTCACACACACACACACACACTTTAATTACACCCAGTAACCTAATCTCAGAGAACACAGTCAGGATCAGAACCACAGAAGGGTCACATCAACACTGGACTGATGTCAAAGTTCATCCAGTGAGAATCTACTGGAACCAGCAGCAGATACTGGTTCCTGTAACAGGCTCTTCTTCTCTTGAGGCACAACAGGTGTACTCACACGCTCACTATTGGCTGGGCTGTCATTTCAGGCAGGTTTAAATCTCTCTCACTCACTCACACACACACTCTCACACTCTCTCTCACACACACACACACACACACACAAACAAACACTTGAACAGCAGTCAGAAGCAGAGACGTGTTGGCGCTATGGCGGAGTTGTTACCAGCCGTAACGTCACTCATGTCAAACACACAACAGTGACACTCACTCCGACGTTGTCGCTCCTGCTCGGGTAAGAGGCCAGTCTTCCTCCGCCTTTCACCGGCATCCTGCTGTTTGTCCTCGGCTGAACAGGCTGTGTCGTCGCAGTTAGATCCGGACCAAAGGGGGTTCAGCGGTGGTTAGCGCGGTGGCTAGTCTCTGGAATGAAACATATCTCCGCCCTCGTCGCTTGAGTTCCTGCGGGCGGACAGCCTACTGGAGCCAGCGGCCAGAAAGAGGGAGGTCCGTCCGACCAGCACAACAACTGTCGGCTTCACTGCTGCTCCGACAATCATACAGACTCGCGTTTCCTGTTTCCTTCACGGGAACAGTTTTATATTTAGATAGGCTACATATGTACTTGAGATACAAATCTTTATTATGAGCGTGAATGTTGAGGCACTATTATTATTCAAATCTTCATTATGTGCCTGCAATGCAATAGCACTGACGGCATATATTACTGTCCTGCATACTTATTCGACTTATTCATGTTCCGTATCGAAATTTCGGCGTGTAAGTAGTCCCGCAGCTTTGAGAAAACCCAGACAATATACTCAATGCGTGCGGCTCGATCGGCAATCTTCTGCCATGACTTTTTTATAGCGATTCGAGTAACCATGGCGACGTAAATGGCGATAAACGGCCAAAACATTTCCATAGAGAATGATTGGGGTGACGTCTTGAAGACCACCAAACCCACCCCTCTTTGGAGCGCTACTGCTCATCAAACTTCAATGTAGAAAAATGGTTGAAAAGGGTGGTTTAAAGGGACACAAGACTTGTGTCAATATTTAGATAGCTATTACGGTTTTCACAAAATTGCAGTTTGCGTTTTGTGTCATTTTTAGATGGATGTGCAATGGTGAGGTGTTTATTGCATAGAATGTTCAGGGCACATTTTCGCAAAGCATCTTAAGGCTAAAAGTAGCTCCTAACTTGCTAATTTAGGAGAAATTCCTAAAAATAATGGCAGTGTCAGTCCTAATTTTACTCCTAACCCACTACGACCAAATCACAAAGAATCATAAAGGGCTGCTGTCATTCCACATCACAGTGTTCTGGAAACCTTACACGATGCTGAATTACTTAAACGATACAACTCAATCACGAGGGAATAATGATCGTTGTGGAGTTTGTGAAGGATGCAATAACATCTTCAGCCAAATGAAACAACCCAATCAGTGTGTAAATATAATGTTTGGTAACGCTTCTAACAGAGAAAAGGCGATCTATTCACCAAACAATAAATGTGCTCTGATCTGACATCATAGGACAATTCATATGATTTCTTTTAGATGTTCAACAACTACACAGAACAAAGGAGCTTCATGGTCAGTCTACCCGCTGTGATCGGAGCCATAGATGGAACTCATGTAAAAATTATTGCACCACCACAAGACAAGGAGAACAAAATCACACCATCAACACACAGGTTGTATTTGATGCTATACAGTTCTAGACATTGTTGTACAGTGTCCAGGATCTACACACAATTCATATGGATCTTAATAGAGAGTGACCGGAGGCCACTGTTTGAAAGGATCATGTTCCAGGTGGATGTCACTGGTGGGGGACAGGGGAAATCTTCTCACACCTCAACCCACAGCCGTACCACAGCTACATTACAACAGGTACAGCTACAACAGACCTTCGCTGATAGGCTGCCAGTTAGGTTAAGTTAGGTAGTCTAGGACAGGTTTTTTTTTTTTTTTTTTTTTTTTTTTTCACTTAGAGAAAAAAATATAAATTTTTTTTTTTCCATTGAGAGAATCAGATGTAAGTTTTTATATTAAAATAAAATTATCCCAGGTCAACACAAACATCATATTATCATACAGATGCATTTTGGAGAATGCACTACTTTAGTACACAGCACCTAATCCGATATTATTTAATTAGTATTCATTTATTTCTCAGTGTTTTTTTTTATTATTATTACTGTGGGATGTTGCGCATGTATTTTCACCAGCACAGATGGTCTTTCATCAACTGTTTGCTGTGTTTCCTGTTAGGGATCTCGTCCATGAAAATTGACGTCAGTCATAGCAACGGAGTCACACTCTTAGCTCAGGAGTTTTCACTTTTCCTTACTAAAAGTTGGTCTCAGCAGTTTTGTGAACAGGACTTAGGAGAAAAATTTTTAAAAAACTTTTAGCATGACTCCGGAGTACTCTTAGTGGTAAGATAAAATGCATGTACCACCCAGTTTTGGTCTCATTCACGGTTTTTGAGGAAATCCCCCCTAAGTGCAGAGAGGTCTGTCCAAAACTCCCATAGTCTGTCCAAAGCCCATGTTAAACTGGGCTATGAAGTTCTTACCAAAAAAAGAGTTGAGGGGAGTTTCTAAACTGCGATAAAACCTCAACCCTAAACTGTAGGTACACATAAAAGATATCAAGCTCTTTACTGAAGCCTTGGGACAGCTATGGTGAGATGATCTTTTCAATAGGACTTGTAGTTTTCCCTCTGTGAGCCAATTTTCAAACAGGTTTCATCTTAAACACTGCTGTCTGCCTAGGGAGATAGAGTGGATTGTGTGTGTGTGTGTTTCTCTCCTTCCCCTGGTGGCCACAGTCGCCATAGCAACCAATGTCTCAGCAGGTGCTACTGACAGTTATTGGTCAGATATCGGCAAAGCTGATTCTGACTGGCTAATTAGACTCATTAACTCTTATTCGTTTTTTCTCAGGTATGAGAACAACTCCAAGATAAATCAACACAATGTATTTGCGTGTACTTGTGTGTGCATGTTTATGTTAGGTTCTTTGCGCGTGTGTACAGGTCTTTCTGTAATTGTTTTCACCAATTATTCAATTATTTCACAGGGAGCGAGCAAACACATTTTCCACACCGCGAAACAGGTCCGGGAGAAGGTAAAAATAACTGAAACAGGATTTAAAAAAAATAAAGGACCACAACAACCAGAGTGGCGAGGGTTGCCACCCGTCACGTATAATACAGGATCGTCCCGTATTTGAAAATAAAATGTCCGGTATTGAATATATATGGGACGCAATTTGTCCCGTATTTTTGTTAATGTTATCTCCTCAAAGTGCAGTGAATAATGTAATGTCAGGTAATAATTTTGCATACTTTAGGCCACGGTGGAAACGCAGACAACAATGGGCTGCACGAACCTTTTAGTTCTTGAAGAAAAGTACCCGGAACTAAAAGTTCATTGACAGACACTTGAACACCATCACCATCTTATGGATATTAACTGTATAGCTTTTTTGGAGGCTCTATGATAGACAGCTCTACTGCCACACACAACAATACACACATGCACATTGTGCGGACACAAGTGCAGTTGCTGCCCAAACTTGTAGTAAGATTAGTAGGTATGTGTATCCTATGGAGATCCACAAAAAAGCCTCTTTTGAGAATGGACTAACTCAGGACTGTTGTGGAGAGACGCATGCAATGTAAGATGGAGGCCATCTTGGACAATACCAACCATCCTCTCCACAACATTCTGGCAGGACAGAGAAGCAGCTACATTTGCAACAAACGTCTCATCTCACTGCACTGCAGAACAGAGAGGTTCAGAGGATCCTTTGTTCCCACTGACATCACGCTGTATAACAACTCAGCCAAATGAAGTGGACTAATATAATTATTATTGTTCATTTGTTATTGACTGTTTTTATTATCATTATTATTATTATTATCAACAATGAGCTAATGGACACATGAATTTCCCCTAGGGGATAAATAAAGTATCTATCTATCTATCTATCTATCTATCTATCTATCTATCTATCTATCTATCTATCTATCTATCTATCTATCTATCTATCTATTTCCAGGTGTCATACTTTAACAAACTCCTCCTAGAGAATTAATCAGATCGACATCATATTTTGTCAGTCTAATTTAAAGGCAATCATCATTTGATGTACATGAGATTTTCATGGTCTCGTCTGCACTTAATATATAGCAAGATAACACGTTTGCTGCATCTTGCATGCAATACACTTTGTCTTCCACCACACAGTGCATGCGGGAAATATTACTCATGAGCATGGTGTCGTGGTAGTGACAATACAGGGTGGCTTTAACTGACTCTGTAAGAGTGTGAGGGCCCACTCAATGCTGCTTACAGCTTTATTATTATTCTACACTGAAATTAATTGCCTTTTTGAGGCCTTTCCCATGCTCAACTCAAACTTTGCAAACACATCAGGCCTCGTAAAAATGTACGTGAGCACGTCTTTGTGAAAACTGGTGTGTCAGGGAACGGCCTGCCCGTGGCGACACTGCAAATTTCAATGTTTCGCCATGAAACATCAACTTGCTATAACTCAAGCACACATTGTCCAAACTGCCCCAAAATATATATGTTTTATAAGAGTCATGGCCTGATCACGTTTACATTTTCATATTTAGTAATACTCATAGTGCCACCTAATGGCAATATGAAATGGCTTTGGTGGCGTGCAGGGAGTACAGGGAGTGGCTTAAATTTCATGATACATAGTCCATTCTGGCTCAGTCTTGGTTACACAAATCTTCTCCCCTTGCTGATGCTAAATTGTGAAAATTTTGACTTTTCATTTAAGGGTGGCTGTAGCGCTGCTGTGAATTTTGAAAGAGGAAATGGTTGTAACTCTGTTATAATTTCTCCAATCTTCTCTAAACATGGTCAGAATATGCTTTACACCTACCTGATGCTTCACTGTGAAAATGATGTCTTTCTGATGTACGCCGTGGCTTTAGCCACACGTTGCATTTAAATTTTGTAACTTTGCATTTCATTTAAATTGGTTCTGCCGAACATGAAAAAACTTCAGGACAGCTTCTCCCTCAAACTGTGAATCTGCTACATGTGAACTGTGTCACACATGAAAACTGATGATGAGTAACAGCTCCTGGACTTTTTGCACCTTACCTCCATCACTTTTGGACTGGCTGCAATAGCTTACAGTCCTGTCAACAGACTGTTGCACTATCCTCACTTAGCTATGAAGTATTATTTTTACATTCCTACTATAATTTATACTTGTTGTTTCAAAAAATGATGTTGCACAGGGGATTCATCTACCTCTCTTTATTATGTAAACTTGTGTAATGACCAGTGCAAGTACAGGTAGTAGGCGTTTTTTGAATTGGTATGTATTGGAGCCAGAGTTTTTTGGAGCCCCTAGCGGCCCTCACTGGTATTGCACTTAAAGTCACTTCCGCATTGGCTTCACTTTTGAGCCCCGCAGCGTATGTCCATTTTTATATACAG